CTTCTGCCTCTTCTGCTCATGTTAAGTCCATTTTTGAAAAATGACAAAATATAACTCCTAAAACTGCTAAAACTTGATGCCACTTCGTTTTTGTTTTCATTTCCAGAAGAAGAAGAAGTGTCTTCAGAGGTTTTTGTGTCGTTTCTTTCAGTAGTTCTTGGTGCATCGCCCCCACAGGCGAGTGGGGGAATAGGTTGGTTCAACAGGTTGGCTCGACTGCACAGTGCAGTGTGAATGCAAACGTACCAGCTCAAATGTAAACAAAATGTCATGAATATTGGTCCCCAACCAAACCGAGTCTACCGGACTATCAGGTGTGAAAACGACCTTACATGATCTATGCACACACATGCATTTGTTGCATGTGTTTGAGAAAACAGCAACAACTTAAACAAAGGGTGTCATGCAAATAAGTAGAAATTTATGTAACATTCCTTCACACTGATATGTTGCTTTTGAGCTAGATTTGTTTTATAAGCCTGAAATAATATTACTTTTTCAATAAGCCCGTGCTTGGATAGCCTTTAGCCTCACCTGGATAAGAGCTTCTGCTCTTCCCCCCTTGTGTTCCGACTGATGTCACCGATGATTAGGTATTAATGATTATAACTATTTGACACAACATCACTTCAGAAATCACCAGACTGTCTATTTAGGTAATTCCAAAACTGTCCTGAGTGTGCACTGATAGACATATTTCACTTTTAATTACTGTCATTAAAATTGCTTCCCTTTAACTTCCTGTTTTATCTACATAAAACACAGATGTCTTCATTGCTTTTATAGAAACCTTTTTAAATTTTCTTGCCTGTGTCTAATAAAACACAACTTGACTATATTTCTTCTTTATTCATTTCACCTTTCTTTTACTTTGTTCTTCATTTTTCATTTCTCTTATTCATGCACCTTTTCAGCTTTGTTCCTGTGGATAGTCACTCCTCTTTTCTCCAGAGGATTTCCCAACACCTGCACTCTGAGTCTGCAGCCTGCTCTCAACACACATCACCATGTCATCTGCGAGCACCGTGGTCCATGGAGACTTTGGCCTCATCTCGTCCATCAACCTGTCCATCACGACAGAAACAAGGAAACTCAGAGCTGATTGGTGTAATGCTGCCTCAAACCTGAAACCACCCTGCCTCACCTCGCTGCCCTCAAACGTATCCTTCAGTCTCTCATACTTCACTGCCGTTCAGGAGTTTCTGATGCAGTAACACCCTGGATGTCTTCAAATTTATGTCGTTACATACTTATATATTGTTTTTAATGTCCACAAAGAGAACATAAAAAATCATATTTACCTTTGCAAACTCTAAAAGTGAAGTTTAAATCCGTGTTGTACTTTTCTGGCACCAAACTAATGCTACTCTTATTATGGCTTTTTGTGCTTAAATGTTGTGGCTGATCAGCTTTATAAAGACACATGACAAAGGTCACAACTTTTCTTCTTACAAACATACTGTAGGTCTGGAGACTGTGTCAGCAGAATAAAGTTGCACCTGATTAGACATTTAAGGGCAGTGGCAGTTTCATGTTAGGAAAGCTAAAGCGAATCCAATACATTACTCTTGGACATCAAAATTCTTGACAAGCAGCTATGGGCTTTACAATACAGATGCTTGGCAATCTAAACCATAAATAGTAAAATAAAGTAAAAAAAAGGGATTTACAAGATAAATAAAGAAACAAGAAAAGTAGAGGAGAAAGTTCAGACAGAATGTATGCTTCATTTTAAAGATAATGCTGGCTCTCCAGTGGCGGGCCACTGTTCATGTGCAGTTTTAATTAAACAAATATGGCTGCCAGATGAAAACATGTTCTGCATTCCTATTCTAAAATTCACCACCATTTAAATTAGATGAAGTGTTTTGATGTAGAATTTCTGCTGTTTGTTGCTCCTGTTTACATGTAAATCCAGCTTTTGTTGATGAAAATATAGTTTATTAAAATTTCTTTCCATTTTTGTTCATGCTTATGGTGCTTTGAGAAGCTTTTGCGAAACATTGACCAACGTTCAATATACTTTGTGTCCTAGAAACATAAACAACACGGAAGCTGTATTTCCTTAAAATAATAAAATAAAAAAGAAAACATTTGTCTTGATTTATCCTAATCCTGTCACCATCATGTTTGTATTTTCTTCTCAAATGATTTATAATACAGAAAAAGTACAAAAGAAAAGAGTTGATTGGCAAAAATATTTGGTTTGGTAAAATGTTAGCATGGATATTCACACCACCTAATGGGGAAGTATAAGTATTACAGTATTTTTGTTACAAACTTTTGTGGGTGATGTATGCTCAATAATCCAGGTAAATAAATTTGACAAAGTCTGTGTCCAACTGTTTCCCTCTAATAATTGCTAGTATCACTCACCCCTCTGTGCATAGCAAGCAGTCATCAGGGCGCTAACGATCAATTGTCATACTGATTCAATACAATTCAAAAATTCTAAAATACTTTATTAATCCCAAAGGGAAATTAAATGTTGTTGTAGCTTGTTATCCTTGTTAAGAGATGTTATAGATACTGATGACTATAGGCAGGAAAGATCTTTGGTAAATGTCCATCCCACAGAGGATCTGACGAAACTGGCCGCAGATGCCGGCTGATTTGTCCACCCAGATTCAGTTGGCCTCTTGGTTCTTTTGTGCTGCAGCACCACCCGAACACCGGGCAGAACTCCTCCTAGCAGCCTGCTGAGCTCCTTGTCGCTGTGGACAGCTGGCTGCAGGTGCCAGGGGATGATCCCGGTCTTTCCGCTGTCACGAGCCACGTTTCCTGTCATGTTCAGGATCTCAGTGGTCAGGCACTTGAGTGCAACCGGCAGGTTGACAGGAATGCATCTACGGCACCTCCTTTTCAACTCATTTGAGATTTGGGACTGTAGCCGAGCTATTATTTGAACTTTTGAAATGTTAATCAGCAGCTCCCAGTTGTAAAAAAAACCACCTTGTTGTTATGGTTACACATCATAACAAATGTTAAAAACTAAAACGTTTCAGTAAAACTTCTTCCAGCTGCACAGCATCCGATATCAGAGGAAACAATCATCCCCCCCAAAAAAACGATTTACATCCAGAAAAAAGAGCAATATCTCAGAATGAATGTAACAGAGCTGCTCCAACATGCAGCCACCCAGAGCGGCACAATGCTAGAACTAATAATATGGTCCTCCTTTTACAAACTGGTTGATCCACTATGAGAAGGTGCTGTTTATAAGAGTTTGTTGCAGCTCCTCAGACTGATGCAGTCTTTTGGATAAAAGACAAAACGTTTCAACAAATAAGAACCCGTTCAGACAACATGACTCAATGTCGTTAGATTTTGTGCGTGAAATTTTTTACATTAAAAAAGAGTTTATAAAATTTCTAGTTTAGCATTGATCCTTATTGATCTAAGCTCAATGGATTCCTCTGACTGGCACAAGGGTTGTATGTAGTGGCAACAGCTCGTAAATATGATCAGCAGATGGAAAACTAAGAAAAATGATGATGAACAGAAGAAAAATGCTAAAACAAGAAGATGGACCTTAAAAATTTTAATTGGAATTGATATACTCCCCAGCCTTTTGAAATGTCCTTGAATGAGACAATGAACTACTGTGTGACTGATAAAACACACTGTAAAATGTAAAAAACAAAGTTTACTTTATGAGTATGTAATTTTTGCCCATTGAGAAGCAAGCTGAAGGTTTTGTCAAGCCTTTCAAAGTTCCTTGACCTAAACATTGTTGAAATTGTGTGAAAAGATTTAAAAACAACCAAACCATGAGAAAAAGCTTAAAAATACGCAATAAAAGCACACTTTTATAAATGTGTTTCTAAGCTCTAAAAGCATTTTGATACTGATCATACAAGACTGTCAAGCTTCCATCTATCTGTTTTCTTCACTGTGCAGGGTTGCAGTGGATCTGGTGCTGATGGTGGAGGGGTGTGTGTGTGCGAGGGAGACACCTTGGACAGGACACGCCCATCACAGGGCCACATAGAGGCAGACAAGACAAAAAGAAACATTTACACCTAAATTAGAGTTATCAATTAATCAATTAATTGGTCTGTGGGAGCCTCCAGAAAGACCACATTTTAACCCTGTGGCCTCTTTATCCAACATTTTATTTAGTTACTTTTTAACATTGTATTAAATTAATCACTTAGTTGCTTATCTTTTTCCCAGTGAAAGTCTTGATCAAGGCTACATAATATTTTCTCATTTCCTTGTCGGACACATCAGCTCAAAGCTTTCACAGAAGATAAACAACAGCTTAAATCATCATTAGCAGTGATAGTAATCAAGAACCTGGGAGGTGTTTGAAGCTCCAGTGACCTGCCCTCACAAAGCTACTTTCACTGCTGGTCCCAGTTTCCATGAGTGTCTTTGACGTGGCCACGAAAGTGAAAAGTGAGACGAACTGCAACCCCCTCGGAGCAGGGTTTCCTCAGCCCACACTTTAACCATCACAGTAACATTGTCTCAGTCGCTCCCACGCAGACTGAGCATGGTTCTCTGTGTGTGTGTGTGTGTGTGTGTGTGTACAGGAGTTATCTCAGTCAAATTCCAGATGTGCACAGGTGACCATCTTTCCAGAGCTGTGCTCATTTTACAGACAGAACACACACATCTGCTCAGATCCATTAATAACAAACACACAAAACACAAAGCTTGTACACAAACCGCACAGGCCAGAGGCACAAAGCACTTCATTTCCTATTCCTCCCCTCCTCCCCCTCACCTCTTCACCCTCGTATTCCTCTCCGGTCTCCCCAACACTCAACCCACGGTCACTATAGCAACCTGACAAAGAGCTGCCAGCAGTCGCAGGACTGATCGTGTCACGACAACATCAGCCAGAAGACACGGACACGCGCCTACAAACCTGCCACCTGCATGCAATAATGCCCATCTCAACACACTTATACACACACACACACACACACACCATCACACACACACACACACACACACACACACAACCAGTTTAAACAGAAGATGACAGTCTTACCTTTGCTCATGTTTGTTCATCCTCACGTTGAAGTTTGAAAGTGGGAGCTGCAAGAGAACAGACGTTATGACAGTTTGTCCCACATGAGATCTCAACAAAAAATCATTTTAATTGTGTTTTTCTAATGATTTTCACTTTGATATTAGTTAATTTATTAAATCAAATAAGCTGTTATGAGTTTGATAAATGCCAGGGGACTAGAGAGGGCTCCCAAAAAGCTTTGTTGGGTATGTCGCTCTGCTGCCACCTGTAGGCTGCATGAGGTAAACTCCGTCCGGTCTCTAAGGACTCTGACCTTTCACAAACCCTCAAATCTGATTTGTTGAGGAGGCAGACGCCAGGTGATAACATCAGGATGTGTGAGCTGTGATAGTCAAAAACATCCACCATTCCAAAAGGCTTTTAGATTCCAAAGCTCAATAAAATCTCCCAGTGAACGCTCAACACTTTGACAGTTTAATAAAAACCCATTTCTCTTTTGTCTATTTATTGTTTTTACTTCTTTGGTAGTTCAAAAGCTCTCTGCCAAACTGAGTCATAGAAAAGCTCAAACCTCCAGCCAGCTTCAGAACAGGAAAGTGTTGCTCAGTGCTACGCGCCCGGGCCTATGTGCACAGCCTGCCTCTGCATCTTTTAACAAACAGAGAAGAGATGAGCGAATACTTTATATTTAGAACGGTGACGCGATGCGAACTCAAACGCTAACATGAGAGGAAGGCTCAGCGATGCGTTGGAAGAGCTGCATATTCAATAATGTATCAGAGGCAGCGGGTTTTCAAAGACAGCTGGGAATCACCACTCTGTCGTGTCTCGTCTGCTCGTCTGTCATGTCGTTCCTTCGGTCCGTCCACTGCGACAGCGGAGGACTTGCCTCTCCTGGGGACTGGTGATGTTTGGTTAAAACTTCAGTCCTCCTGACAGCGTCTTCACTTACTTTCTGTTCCTCAGAATGAGTGTCCCTCTGTGTTTTCACTCAGTCACTTAAAGGGAACAAAGACGGCATCAAGTTCCTCTTTTCTGTTTTGGGGGGCTCCTTTGCTGTGTCAGCCTTTTTAGTAACGTTAGACTTTGCACATTATGAAACAGAACAAATCTGCATTCGACAGTAAAAGGGGAAAAAGTGTATGTGTGCAGATTTTTCTTTCAAGGACACCGTGAGCATGAGAGCTTACCTGCTTCAGTACGCTGGTTCACTCTGCTGCTTCATCCTTGAGGAATGAAAGAGCAAGAAGTCTCCCCAGAATTCTCCTGCAAGGGGCACAGCACAAGAAAAGCAAAGCGGGGCGAGGAGTGGTAAGAGAAGAGGAAAAAGTAGGAAAGAGATTAGCAACAGAGCCTTTCAGAGCTTAGCACTTTTAAAGGCAAATCTGACTTTCAACTAAGGTCTACGTGTTTGTCTATTCTTTTATTCGTGTGAGTATCTGTGTGTTTTGAGACCCAGAGTTCAACTACCGGAGCGGAGTTGTTCCAAAAGCAGTTTGGGTCAAATGGGCAGCACTGGCTCGCCTCCTACAGTGGGAGCTTTTAAGGCTTTTAAGACTTCCAAACCTTACAGACTGTGAGGGGAAGAGCCCGGGTGGGAAAAGCATGAGGCACTTGGATATGAGAAGTACACACTCTGACAGATCAAAGGGGCTTGCATTAGGACACATGTGAGCATATAAGTGTAGAGGCGTGTGAAATCGAAGCACGGTGTGTGTATATGTGTATACGCACACATACTCAAGTTGCTCTTTCATGTTTTGGGACCAGAATGACCCGACACTATTATTCTGAATTCTTCTGCCATCTAAGGAGTGCAGCGGAGTGCACCAAGTCACAGCAAAAACAGAAATCACTTCAGATGTGGAGCGGGTCTCGGAGGATTAGGAATCTGTTCCACAGTTATTCACAAAATCTATCCTCTGCTGAACTTCACAACCTCTGCAGTGAGGATGGAAATTAGCTACCTAACAACAAACAAGTGAATATATATTTGGTTTATCAAATGTCTGTGTAAATTCATTTATTGTGGTTTAATTGTTGCACCCTTCAGAGGTTTCTTTTTATCTCCTTTGGTGATAATCTGCAGTCATATGTTACATACTCTCCCCACTCAGCCACAGCCGCCCGATGTCGCCGTGTGTGTTGACATCCACAACCGCTCCATTCACAACTCTACTTACTCTAGTCTGGAAATATTTTTCATTGTCTTTTTGTTTCTTTTATTTTTTCCCCAAAGGTCAAAGGTTATACAAGGTATTTGCTTGTTGTTTGGGCCGTTGCTAAAGATGGCTGTATTGCTGTTTGCTGAGTTTGTTGATTGGGGTGTAATGTGCCGTATGTGATACTCTTGGCCATTCTGTTTGTTCTTCTGGGTTCTGGTCTGGTCCTTTGCGTTTCCACTCCTCATTCTGTCAGTTTCAGATCGTTCAGTTCCTGTCCCGCCCTCTCTCACCTGTCCCCAATTAAAATGATATCAGATGTTACTACTCCTCTCTTTAGCCCCAGTCCATACAATTGTTCAGCTTGCATTCATTCCTCAGTGGAGTACTGTGTATTCATTATGCCATGCACAGGTCTCCTCCAAGTACTCCTTGAGTTGTTATTTTGTAAGTTTGCTGCTACGTCCCTCTCTTGTTTTCTAGCTATATAAAGTTTTAATTTTTTACTCGAGCTTTGTGTGTCTGCATGCATTCCTGAGTCCATTTCCTCCTCAGTCGGGGCAGAAGCGGTATACTGTATAAGAATGGTTCAAACAATATTTAGAAGCCCCCAAAGAGGAATGACATTCCTATCTTTGGATCTGCTGAAGATAATTCAATGAAACTTGACGCTCATATGTATCATCAATAGATGGACATTTTTAATCACCCCAGCTCCAAGGTCAAGGTCAAGATCATAAATCAAGGTAAATGGTAAATGGACTGTACTTATTTAGCACTTAACTATCTTATCAAGATACTCAAAGCACTTGACACTATAATCTGTGCCCTCATTTACCCATTCATACAACACTCTAGTATTTCTGTACAAAGACTAATCAGAGCTTTATCACATTCATACATCGATGGGACACACATCAGAGGCAATGAGGGGTTCAGTGTCTTGCCCAGGGACATTTGGGCATGTGACTGCTCGTGGAATCAAACCCCCAACTCTTGCATTGGAGGACAACTGCTCTAACCAAAGTTATGGCCTGGACAATCAAAGACCTTGTACAACATTTGACCTTGAATTGAGACCTTGACCTTAAAACAGGAGTGATGAAAAGTGCAAGCGTTGCTTCGACCACAGTCTTTTTGTATCAACAGGCTGTTGGCATATTTCTGGTTGGATATTTGACCATTTTTCTTGGCACACTCTGGTTCATTTCATTCGGTCTGTCTCCTGGTACGGACACAACGTTTAAGCAAAGTTCACACATTTTCAGTAAGATAGAAGTTGAGGTTTTGGAAATGTCACTCCAGAAGGTCCGCCTGCTTTACACACACAGAAACCAGTTTTGATGTGTCTGGTATTATGGTAATATAGGAACACCAGTTTCGACCATCTGGCTGTTGATTTGAGGTGAAGCTGAAGAGTTTGGAGTTAGACCTGCACCAGTGGCCCAGCACGATGCTACCACCACAATACATGGCAGCTGGTACAATAATCTCAGGGGCGAATGCCTCAAACTGACGCCTTCAAACAAAGTTCTCGACATATTTCTCTTATTGTGTCAGAAGTCTCAGTCCGTGAATTTTCCTGCAATTTCCAGTTCATAGCAAACTTGAGTCTCGGTGGTCACTGAACAACTTCACAACTTCCTTCTTCTTCTTTGATCTTCACTAAGTTCCTTGGACTTTCCAGTTGATCTCTATAATAATTGGCGCTATTAAACCAATTGTTTTGTTTAATAGCTGGTAAAGACAAACTCCCAGCTTCAGTCAGTCATGATCACCAACAAGGAGTTAAAAGTTCTTGTCCGTGTCAATGTATGACATTTTGGTACTTATGAATAACTAAAATGAAAATATGTACTTGTACATCTTGTTTTTAAACACCAGTCAAGTTATTTTTTGTGCAACCATTTCACCTTTGGAAAATGGTTCAATTAAATAAAAAACCCCAAACTAAAACTAAATCTAGGTCTGCGGTGTGGTTATGTACTGTAAAAAGCTGACTGTGTGGATCATCCTTTCAAAGTAAAATAAATAAAATCCTTGCAATGCCACGCAGACTCCAGCAGTCTGTGCTGTCACACCACTCGTGCGCTTGAGCTGCTGACCGACTTAATCAAAGTGGGGCACAGCCGATGATGGCAGCATACATTAAACCCAGGAATCTGATGATGTAAAAGATCATGAGTGATTTAACTGTGAACGACAACTGGGGCGTGTGTCATTACTGATGCTTTGTTTGACCCATTTGTTTTTTGGGTCACCCCCAGCGGCGTCTTACGTAACCTTATCGAAAGCTGTTCGACGAATGTTCGCCGTGCCTCTCGTGATCTGCGAGGGATGTGATGGATTCCACTGCGGCCCTGGCTCGCCTATACAACACGCACTGTGGCAAATGGTTGCACTCAGCGTGCGGAAACCAGTTCACACTTTATTTTCAGGTGATGACACATTCTGGTCCTTTCTCCAGTCGCATCATGTTTCTGATAGAAGAATCTGACAATAGTGGGGAAAATCATCTCAAGGATAAGAACTGGTTACCGTCCAAAGCTTTTTCTCCGTCTGTTATATTGTTTTCCTGTAGGATTCAAGCTCTGTCTGGTCTGTAGCCACCTTGTTAGTGAGAGTGTGCTTCACCTGTGCTGGGCCAGCAGAAGTAATTAAAGCCTCGGCAGCTTTGTGCTGGAGAGAGAAACTGGATCATGTGGAAAGCTCGTGTTGGTGCAAGCACTTTCAGTTTCAAGCTCCCGCACATAAAGCCACTAGAAGCTGTGTTTATCCAGCAGTGCCGTAGATTCCTCCCTGATTTTTTTGTGCGTTAAAGTGGCACCACAGCGAAAGCCTTTCCTCGCAGCTTTGGATCTTTGTGAAGACTCTCATGGGAACCCGTCAGAGCAGGCCTTTGAAGCTCTTTTTATGTTAATGGCTGAAGTGAGTGTTCAGAGGGAGTCAAAATGTTGTTCTAATTAGGGGGAAATTCAGACCCCCGTGTTGTGTCTGGACATCGCCTCCCAGGTTTCAGCTGGTGGCGGATGGGAGGAAGAGGCAGGCAGAATATTTAGGTCATTTAAGTGCGTTCACATACTGTTACTGCACCGCGAAGCAAACTATTTGTGCACTGATTTGCACAGCGCTGCCCCAGATAACGTTTTGATGTCTGACCCTAACTGGGACGGCTCACTGGAACTAGACTCACTTTGGTTTGGCTTCACTCAGCATGTGTGAAACACTCTTCTTAGGCTTCTGTCAACTGAAGTCAACTTCAAGGCACGTGGGCAAGCAGGGCAGCCGAGTGGCCATCATGTCCGCCTCCAAGCCCCAGCAAGATGTAGGAGGACACAGTGGGACCTCTCACACTGACATCGTGCTCTACAGTTTTAATGTCCACCCCCCCCCCCACACACACACACACACACCGACCACCTGTCAATCCTCCCCACCTCTGTTGACAGTTTAGATAAAGAGTAAAACATAAGTTTTAATAAGCTCCCCAAAAGTGCAATTTTTGGGAGAAAATCTATTTCAGCAGCATATTTACAGTTGTAAACATGTTTACTCTTTTGAGGTGCATGTGTGTGTGTGTGTGTGTGCATGTGCATGTGTGTGTGTGTGTAAAGCTCTGATCATATTCACCCAAAATATTTGGGAAGTTTTCGCAGGTCAAGCTGGCAACTGGGACCCATAACAGCATGATACAGCTCTGTATAAACAACTACAAACTTGTTTACAAGTTGTTTTAGTCTGCAGGACCGAGGTTGAGACAGTTACAGTATGTAGGTACAGACCCCCCCCCCCCCACACACACACACACACCCACACACACATCTCCCCCTGACTATAAAATTTTGAAAAGATGCAAGATGCATTAAAATGTCTGCATAACCTTTGGTTTAAAATCGATTGATGGGCAAGAATGTATTTGCTTCTCTGATTATGCTTGCTTGTGTATTGTCTGCGTGTCTGTTAGCAAAAATTCTGATGAACCAATGCACAGATTTTTAATAAAACCCTTAAGCAGTAATCAATGGATGTGCATCTACAGCTGATTAACTTTTGGAGCCAACCTGATTGAAGATGGCCGCCACAGCTACTCAACCTTAGCAAACA